TTAAGTAAACCGAAAATAGTTTTTACAATAACTTCGTTTTGTAGTGCGATCACAAACCGTAGGAATTTAGCCCACAGACATACATTAACCATGGTTTTTATACTTGGATAATTTTACCCGCTTTAAGCTGTGCCAGGTTACCAAGTGGTCGAGTGAATGACGGTCGAGTGAAAGTTTAGCGTCCGAAAAAAAATTCGAGAGTTCGCACTCATTTGAAATCGGGTGTAAAGGTTGTAAATTTGATGTAAATATGATGTAAGTGTCCAAAATTCTGTAAATTTAATGGAAATCATTTACATCAAATTTGCAGAAGTTTGGACACATCATATTTTCATCAAATTTACAATCTTTAAAGCGCGCGATTTTTTCCAGTGGAGAAAGCTGGCAACTGGCATTGCATTGGTTCCTGAGTAGGAATCGAATGCCACAGCAAGTGATCAAGGGATTATATGATCCAATACTCATTTCTTTCGATACAATTATTTTCTATCACATTCGCAATAGGCCTATGAAAATCATTAGCAACCATTTATTGGATTTTTATTATTAAAAGTTTCTTCATAAAAGAGCGTTTTGAATTGCATGAAACAATTGGCAGATACCAAACAAAACGACTAGGGGCAAGGGGCCAAATTTCTCGAATGAATCAATTTCAAGAAAAACCTTGTCATAAGAAAAACACAAAGAAATTTAACTAATGATCATGCATTATCATTAACATTTTCTTGCTATTTTCCTTGAGACCTACTCATCTCACGTTAGCAATACGTAATGTCGATAATGTTTTTTAAATGCCAATTGATGAGCAAACATATCCCCTGTTGCATTGTTCAGCTCACATGTCATTAGTGCTTGATTGTAGTTGAAAGATACACAGCCGATACCAAGATTACAGTATGTCATACAATGATATTGATTGGGTACTTGATACAGTCGATGAGACACGTGATGTTTAAGAGCCTTTGACTGTTCTGACGAATAAAACATTTTGCTGGGATTTTCTGTTGGAAGATAATAAGAGWGATGACAATAATTATAACATTGTTACAAATTCTCTGGCAAAAACGAATGTCCTGGTGGTTTTGCTATTTAGAAAGGATCTATTCTCTACCTGTGTGCATGTCTTAAGTAATTTAAGTGGACACTGGCATTTCTTGGGGGCAAATGTCGAGCAAACTTGCCAAAATGACTGAGAAATATTGTCCTTTGTAAAACCTTGCTGTCTCATACGCCATCCATGTTCATGAAACAATCTCTATGTACATGCAAAAAAACAAATATAGATAACTGATAAGCTTACCATTGATACCGACTTCAATYCAGTATCTTGCCTTCCAAGATGAATCCAACTTCTTCAGTTTGTAGACATAGAACATGTAGCAGTTGCGCACATAGATATCCACGCTGTACTGACAACAGTCTCCGTTATTATGAAAGCAAACCTTTCTTTTRACAATACCCTCACTGACTGTAGGTAAAGCTCCTTGCATATAACCTGGGGCTGTAGCTCCACAGTGATTCTGGGCCACACAGGTTGACGGTATACGAGAGAACCCTTTAGTACTCTTGAAGACGTACCACATGGTCTCATTGAGGTTGCTGTCATCATTGACGTATGGTACAGAACTGGTTGTCATCCTTGTGTTGTCGTTGAGAGAATGATAATTGCTGCAGATATCAAATGAATCTAGAAAGAGATCGAAAAAAATCAATTGTACCAAARGAGTCCTTGTATATGGCATATGGACACCTGCGAGGGAACAATGCTCCCATATTTGCATGCATCATGGCCAGAAAATCCGGACATTTGAGCCCGCAATCGCAGCGGTACTTCGCATAAATGCATAAAAACATGTTTGTTAATTTTACAAAGAAATGTATGGATCAAAAAAAATATTTGAGAATAACATTTCATCTGTTTTAACTGGAAAGATTCCATAGATGAATTCGTAGAGGGTAACTATTCTTGATTCCACTGTAGGAAATCCAAAGAAATCCAATATTGTTAACAGCGTCCTTTTTGACGTCCCAATTTATTTTCCTTTCGTCGTCTCCCTTTGGCCTTGTATCTCATGGTGAAAATTCGCGAAGAAGCGAAATTTCACCGTAGCTGATCGTCTTTCTTTACATGTCACTGATATTCCATAGATCATTTCTCAAAGTCCACATATTGAGGTAGGAACACAGCGATTTTCAGCTATTTTGAAGACGATCAACAGCGTCCTTTTTGGTACTAGAAATCGACGTACAATTTGAAAACATTAACTTGACGCTGAAATGGCTGGCGAAGTATAAACAAAAGATCACAATATCAACTGATAATCATTGTTTAAAATACCTGAGGGAACGTGTGTTCCAGCAAATTATATTATTTACACTATGAYCATTCCAAACGAGCACCTCACAAGCCACTAATGAACTCAAGGATCAGGGCGTGCTATCTCAATACTCGTTTGTCGATGTTTTGAACGTTTCGATTTTAGCCCAGTATTGTATTAAGATAAAGGATCGTTGCACAAGAGTAGAAAATTTGATCTTCAAAAGTTCAAACCTCAAGGGAACTTGTAGAAAGCTCTATTTTGGTGGGAAAACCCGCTGACTCGTCTCGGGCTCAAATGTCCGGAATTTCTGGCCATGCAAACAATGAGAAACGATCACAAGCCCTAGCCTATGAACTGAAAATTTAGTAACTATTAATTCAGTGAGATAGTCGTCATATTTTGAGATCAATCACATATTCAATGACACAGTTTGTTATTCGACTGGGCTAGCCTGAAATAGATGTATTATTTTCGTTTCCAAATTAAAGCTTTACAGATTTTACTGGGTTTTTGGAATGAATGATTTGTCTTAATTTACAATTTGCAGTTATGTAAACCGTACCCTTAACATGGAGGTAAATGTTCTTGTTGTTCGCTCCTCGTGTGTTGGTAGCGCTGCACTTGTAGAATCCCTCATGAGCCGTATTCACATTAGTCAGGTTGAGATGTGTATCGCTTGTTTTACTCTGAAGGACCTGACCTTTATGTGTCCATGTGATAGTGATGGGTGTGTCACCTACTGCTTCACACTTTAATGTAACATCTTGGTTCTTGTAGACAGTGATATACGTAGGGGCTTCTTGATTGGTGAACACTGGAGAACCCAACTTTCCTTTGTTCGATGTTGAAAGGGAAAATGCACACAAATGGTTAAGCCTACTGGGCCAAARGAATATCAATGTTTTAAAGACATCCCCTCCATCTTGCAAGCGCGATTTTAAGCCGAGACATGAAATCTCTTGTAAACATTTTACAGTTTTTATCACTGCAAAAATAAGGTACAAAATACGGATTGAAAAGGCTTAATAAAGCGAAACTGGTCTCCGTAAAATTCCTGGTTTAAATGCTTTTGAAAGACAGATGAACTAAAGTTAAACTTTAGATATTTACACAACATGAGAAAAATAAAGTACCTTTCCGTCGTCCAATCACTGATGCTCTCATTGAAATATGACCGTGCCAGGACGTAGGGTTAATCCGAATTGATCGAGCTTGAACGTCACGATTGAATGTGTTTGTTACGTATGAAAAGACATCTGAATTTCCAGAGAAAACCTGAAATTCGTGAAACACACATATTATCATTATATATTATGTTATTTATTTTCATCTTTAACAATGAAGCGGGAATAAATTAACAGAAACTAAACTATAGGCCAAACTTTGATACGAAAAGCTACGATTGTCAGTTAGGGTATTGGTGCGGAAAACCCGGGGGGTTATATATTTGCAATACGGGCCGCTCGAGAGCTCCAACTCTCTCCAAGTCTAGGATAGGGTATAGTCTCATTGTCTGGGGTAGGGCGGAGTCTTGCCTGTGATAGTGTCTGCCAGGCCACGCTTTCAGCGCTAAAATAATGTACCTTTGTACCTTAAGTCTAGGGTAGGTTATGTAAAATCCCAAAAATTTGTCCGGGATGGGGTAAGGGTTTTGAGGGTCGTGCGGCACACCCCCACCCAAGCT